GTCTGATGGTGTCGGAATCACCGCCCCATCGCATGGTTGTGTATGCATTTGCCGTGGATTTATGGATGGTGACAATGGATTGTCGCACGGTCCTTGATACTGCATCGCTCTCAGCAAGTCACTGTTTCGTCCCGAGTGTTGATCTTCACGTTTGTTGGGTTCAGTTCAAGGCCTGGCGCCAGGCGTGGGGATTGCCTCAGCTCTCTCGTTGAACACGCTGCTGACATCAGAGCCGGGCTCATAGTGCATTAGTACAGCACGGGCTTTGATGCTGAAATTGTCTACCGCATTAGGAGCGCGGTGCAGTTCTGACTGCCGATAAATGCCATCTTTACTGTATGCTTATGGTTTGGCATCTCTGGTAGCAAAATGGCTGCTTTGAGGCATCTGTTTTGGCCATTTTCTCGTAACAACTTTTAGCCATGTCCATAAGAAATACGTTGGCATCACCGCAAACGCTTCTGAACGGCGTCCCAAAATGACGTCACAAGACAATCATATACCTTCCAATCACCTAAAGATCCGTCTGGTATGCAAAACATGTATTGAATGTTCTTAAGGCAAAGGCCGTCTTCAACGTCTGGAGTGGGCGCCGAAATAACGTTTTGATATCACATGAAAGATAGGTCCTCAAATCCTGTCTCAAAAGACGTCTGGAGGGAAGCTAAAAAAAGAAATGGCGTATAACATCTTGTTAAATTCTAGTCATTGCGTCTTAAAATTCCTCCACTTCAGAAAGTTACGTTATGGTAAAGTGTATGTTCCACAATTGAAGGTATTCAAGCAGGCATCAGGCATAAAGAACGTGCTGATAATTATTGTACACTTTTGAATGGAAAAGACTGCCCAAGACAAGACAATTTCTTAGTCAAGCAGATATCCCCATCATTGCGTTATTGGCTACTTCATCGTACTACCCTCTCTTTTAATATAGTTTCTGTGAACGGTCTGTGTCAACTTAAATTCGCAATTAACGCAATTTAACGCAATTCAACGCAATTTAAATTCCAGAAGGACACAGCATCACTTACACGGCGGCGATGGCTGTGGGATGAAGCATGGATAGTGGTCAGGGATATGTGTGAGCAATTTGAAAACTGTCGTGCGCTGTATGTTCCGTGTTGTTGCATGGTATATCTTCTAAAGTAAAGCAAACGATGCAAAGAGCTTGCGTCTAGTTTTTGAACACAGGTTAGTTCATAGCAGCGATTGCAACGCCTTGGAATGGCGTCTGTGCCTATGCACAATGTATGGCCTGCGAACACTTTTTATGCCATTGAAACATCAGCACATTATACCCTGTCAGTGCACAGCATCACATGCATGCAAGTTTACACCACAGGCCTACGGTCTACTGAGATGCGGTGGGACAGTGAAGTGCTGACACATCTTAGTGACCAGCCCTTCTAAATTATACTCTCTTCCCTCTCATTTGTGGTTGAAAGGTGGCATAAAAGCGCTTAAGGTCTACCTTGGTGCAATCTAAATTTTATAGCCCAGGTACTTGGATCAGTGCTTTCAAACAATGATGCTAGCAAATAATGCTTTGCAGGAGATGACACTGACATGATATCCTAGGCATAATATGCATAGGGTTAAAAATAAGGAGAAATGACTCAGCGCGTATCACAATTTTAGCGCATATGCGTATTAATGCCGACTCAACATTTTGGGGGCGGGCTTTTGCGGGCTGAATGCCTTGCTGCCGAGAGAGCCGGGATATGAGCAAATATTTTGGGGAATGCTGCCTTTCCAGTGTGGTATTTATGATCGTGCAAATTATATATGGTGAAACTTTTACCGAAACTAGGCTTACGAAACGGAGCTAAAATGTAAGTTACGCATGTCACCACTACAAGTAAAAGGCTGGAATGTGGTCACTGCATTTTCGGCGTGTTGTATTGCAATCTGTGACAGTTGAGCACAATAGGCCAACACAGGATAACCTGTCCGATTACTAACTCTGGAGTTATTTCAAACTTGAAGCCAACAGACCTGTGTGAACGTCAAAGGTAAATGTCCTTTGAGCGTGACTTCAGACGTCGCACATGGTAACATCCTCACATGCTGTTGCTATATGAGGTTTAACTGCATGCAAATTTGAAAGGAATTTTGAAAAAAAAAGAAAGAAATTGCGCCAGGCAGAATTCCACAAATTCCCCTCTTGTGACTGGTGTGGCATGAATGTCGCCACCGTTACTTATTACTTTTCCAGTCACAGCTTTGTCTACGCCTGGCCCGCTAGCTGACGTACAGGCCATAGAACAGCAGCAAGACATGCAGTCAACGAAAAAAAGAAGAAGCAAACCCACTCCGAGAATTCCAAGAGCTTTGTGTGTTGACCGGCCGGGCAAAAGACCTTGATGAAGACGTGAGGCAAACCCCATACCCAAGATAACTACTAGACACAGTCGCCATTTCAAGTCGGGGTAACAGCCGACAGCGCCGGTTGTCCCTTACTCCGCGTGTCGCAAGGTGACCATAGGTCAGTCTAACCCACATCGTGCGTCCCTGGCCTCCGAAGCTGAGTTCACACGCCACACCCATCGCTCACACTCTCCCCCATACGTAATCCCACGAGCCGAGCCGACCGTTCAGCCGTGGTATAAAATGCGAGACACCACCGCATTTGGGTATCATTTGGTCCCACACACCTACGGCACAACATGAAGGCAAGTGTTCTGAAGGTGGAGCAGAGCACAGGTCAAAAAGTTTTCACGACGATGTGTGAAGCAAGTTATTGTCTTCGATGGGTGTTCGATGAAAGGGACCAAAAGAAGTGTTTTCCATCATACTCAAAAGGAAAAACACCTCCTTTGCCAGATCGCTATTGTCAACAGTACTCCTGCGCATTATGTCGACAGTGTGCCGTATTGGGCAGCAGGAGTTTGGAAAGACAGCGACGGAACGGCTGTCTTGGTGTACCGTCAGCAGGCGTGCTCAGGAAAATGTCACCGGCAATACTTAGCATTTCGTACATGATGGCATGTCTGTCGTCAACAAAGACAACGTATTAACACAGTAGGTAACTGCGCATGTTTATCGACAGTCAGCGCTATAAACATGCGGCACGTTTTCAGGTCTTCTTGGTCGCCCGCTGTTCTGGCCATTGCCGCCGCCTACAACGCCCCAGGCTACAGGGCGCCGGCCCACCATCAGACCAGCTTACGCCCCCCGCCCCGGCTCACCCCGCCAGCCCAGCTACGCTCCGGCCCACCAGCAGAGCTACGATCAGCCGCCCAAGTACCACTTCAACTACGACGTCCACGGCTACGGAGACTACGAGCCTCAGTTTAACGCTCAGGAGGGTCGTGATGGCTACAACACCCAGGGCTCCTACTCGGTTGTCCTTCCCGACGGTCGTACCCAGAAGGTGGCCTACAAACGTCGCTGATGCCTACTCTGGCTACGTCGCTGACGTCACGTACGAGGGTGAGGCCCGCTACGACCAGGCTTACGCCCGCCCCTCTTACCACCCGCAGCCCAGCTACAAGCCCTCCCACAAGCCGGCTGCGTCCTACTACTAGAAAACGAGGTCCAGCAGCGATAAAAACTGGTCGAATGTAGTTATGACATGGTCGTTACTTGAATATATCCCGCAACATTCTCTGATATCTTTGCACAGAAAACACCAGCTCCAATGACTTTAATCTCTACTGGATGTAATTAATAATGCTAAACACTGATGGTATCTATGCAAGCGGTTTGACCTTCTCAGACAGCTTTAATTGTCACCCTGTCCTTGATGTTGCATTTTTCTCAGTAAGTCGCTATTTGCTTCAAAATCTCATCTTGACACTTAATGAGTTTAGTTCATGGTCTGGTGCCAAACATTGTGGCGGACTCTCTCGCTCTCCTGTTCAACACGCTTTTAACATCACAGCCAGGCTCACAGTGCATTGACACAGCATGAGTTTTGCACTAGAAATTCTGTACTGTATTAGGAACACGATGCGGTACTTACCGTGGAAACATGCTAACGTATTTACTGTTAAGGTCTTTATGGCGTGGCATCTGTGGTGACACCAGGATTTCTTCGGGCATCACGGTTTGGCCATTTCCCTCGTAACAACTTTTAAGTCATGACAGTTTAGACATGACAGTCAAAGTACGTTTGGCATCACCGTAAATGCTCCTGAAAGACGGCCCAAAATGAAGTCGGCACTGCATCCATATACAGTTCAATCACCTGAAGATGCGTCTTGGATTATGCAGAGGACGCCTTATGCGTCTCAAGAGGACGCCGGAAAGACGCTTAAGTGTCTCACAAAAATGGGTTCTGAAGTTCTGTTGCAAAGATATCTGGAAAGAAGCTTAAAAACTGAAAGTGGCGTGATTTGCGAATTGGCGTATTTTGACTTTGGTGTAATATTAAATGGCGTCATTTAAAAAAAAACTGACCAGGCTTTCCGAAATGCAGAAAGAGTTCCTAGTGGTGAGAGGGATATGTGGAAAATTTGGAAACTGCATATGCTGTTTCTTTCCGTGCTGTCGCATGGTGTATCCAGTAAAGTACGGCAAAACAACATTTAAGTGTCCTGTGTCTAGTTCTTGAATACGGATTATTACATAGCAGCACTTCCGACGCGCTGGAATAGGGTTTGTTCTTATGCACAATGTGATCAGCTACGGACACTTCCTAGGAACCCTGACGCA